AGATAGCAGAGTTCTGGCCAGATTTCCTGATGAGAGGGAGGATCAGTGGGGATAGTCCACTCACCACTAGTGCATGCCTCAGGGGAAACAGATGGAACTGGCGGCCAGTAAAACTGCGAGCGAAAGTGTTCAGCCCATCGTCTAACCGTCGTCGAAGATTCGAGATTAGGGAGCCATTATCTTCGCAGATTGTTACGCTTACACTAGATCGGAAACATTCGGTGACTCGGATGAGGTGGAACAGTTTTATGGTATTACCAGAGAGATTAGCAAGTTCCATCTATTTAACACGTTCACACCACCAGGTCTCACGGTTTTTCTGTAAGCTCGTACACAACGTTCAATCCAGGGATCGGCGTTCCTCAGTGTGGTGTCCGTTGGGATCAAGCGGCGTCTGGCTATCGGAGATAAGGAGGCATTGGTGATCCAGGTTTCCGGCAGGTGACAAGCAGTTCCATAACTGACAGTATTGGCAGAAATTAAGGTGTCCTTGATGCCTATCCATTGCGAATTGGGGCCATCATCAGAGGATGAAGCAAGTAATGTTGACAGAGAAGCCTGGTACTTGGATAACGTCGCAGGATTTTACAGATTTTCGACGTTCGTTCGGTTGTGCGTACGTCTGGGTGAACCTCCGAAACGCATGCATATTTTGGCGCAAATCAGTGCGTGCTCGGAGTCTAGACAGGTTGACCAGTATGACCGGCAGTCTGTTACGTTGCGGTGCCATCTGTAGCTTATTGCTATGTGGTCAAGCTGGGACCACTCTTGCGTTTGAGAAGGTGGACACAATGTAGCAGTCCGTCTTTTCGAGTGCAGAAAACTGGTACTAGAAAGAAACAAGCGGTGATCAGAACAAGGAGTCAGTAATCTGTCTCCATTGTCTAATCGACTGCAGCCCAGGCCAAAACTATCTCCAAGATGGTGCTCGCTTTGTGGCAGACGGCCCACTTGTGCGTTGAAATCTCCCGCAAGAATAAAAATATCAGACTTTTCAGAGGAACGCAGAAGATCATGTAGCTGTTGCTAAAAGCAATCCTTGACTGCATCCGGGCTGCAGTCTGTAGGTGCGTAGGCGGAGATGAATAACAAGGCACGCATAACATCTCGACCTCTTAGGCTGACTGCAGATAGCCGACTGTTGACTGGGATCCAGTCATGCAAATCGGCCTCAGCCCTGTCACTCTGTGCAACCCTAACGCCAGCTTGGTCAGAAGTGGCGACCTCTGGGTCTTCGGAATGAGGCAAGGAGTAGTTGACGTCAGGATTTGCCGGAGAGGTCGTTGTGATGACAGTACTGGCGTCTTGCAACCTGCTTCCGGAAAGGCAGCAGATGTCCACCGTGAGTGTCTCAAGCCTACGGGCCCGATGTGCTCCTCGTCCGATCTGCATCAGAGTGCGTACCTTGCATGCCGCAAGGCCGAATGGGGCACCAGGACGAAGGAAAGCTTGGGCTTCGATGCAGTGTGCAGATGTTGTGACCGCCAGGCAACGAACACCAAATGTTTGGTTCAGAACTCTGTCAGATGCAGCCAGTGAGCTGTTGTTGACGGTGATCGGGTAAGACATGGGTGTAGTTAAAGAACGGAACGTGGGACGATCTATGAGCGGCGGTTGAGCAGCAGAGACAGTAAAGCCAGCAGACCTAGCAAGAAGGAAAGCAGTAAGGTAATCCATCCATGGTTTGTCAATAGGCGTGATACTAGGCGTTTGCGCAGTCCGAAGTAGAGGGTTGTCTTTGGAGCTCTTACCACGAGCCTTTGATCAAAGATCTAACCTACAAGATAGCAGGGCGATTTGAGGGCTTGGCGACCCCTTGGAAGCCGGCGACCAAATAGTTGCTTCATGTGCCTTTCGGTCCGTGAAGGACCATGCCCAACATATACTTGAATTACAATGTCGCTCAGCCACATAGAGGGAAGATTGTGAGAAACACGCCTCAAATTACTGTCTTTGAAGCTAGTTAGCGGCAGGCTCCTTGTAGCATCCTACTGATCAACCAATTTGATATATTGAGATAGCAGATTCAATTTAGTTGCCTTTTTGTCACAACTCTCATGGTTTCTATGGGCAACTTCTGAAGCTTTCGCATATTAGTACCGCCATGTTGATATACTCTGGCTTGCATTACTTAATGAAAATGAAAAACGCACCGCAGAACACGCTAGTATAATTAAGCTGCACTGTGGCACAAATCTGTCAGCTTAGTTTATTAGTTCACAGCGAATATTTGTCTATAACTATGAGATCAGATGGGTATACAACATCGAAGACATAACTAAATGGACCACAGGATGTTATGTTTGCTTACGCTGTTCACATAAGTTGTACTGTCACTAGGACATAGCGATATCTTCTTTACGACTGAAGGTATTCTGAAGTGCCTACATCTTTTGGGCGAACATGCCTCTCCTGGTTCAGATAATATCCGCCAGAAGGAGTTGAAGTTGTTTGTGGTGAATTTGATGGAACCATTCTTAGTTTTTCCAACAATGTCCCGACGAGATGCAGGTTCCAGTAATGTGGAAGCACCAACTCATCACTCCCATTCCCAACGGGGAAGCCTGGCAGCTCCCACCATCTCCCGATAAAACTCATTCCAATTCTCTCCAAATTCATTAATATCCTTAAAAACCGAAGCGCTTATGGGCTACTTGAAAGGGTGCAACGTCACATCACCAAAACAACATGGATTCCACCAAAAAATGTCTTGTATCACAAATCTGCTACTGCTCACTTCAACTGGGTTAAAACCGTGGACAGACGTGTTGGAGTTGGAGCAGTTTATATGGACTTGCCAACTGTGTCCAATCGTCTATGGTCATGATGATCCGGTCCTTGGTAGCATAAGTAACTTCATACGTCAACGACATCTTTTAGTGAGAGTTCGCATCGCCGTCTCTGACTATCGAAGTTCAGTCCGGAGAACCTTAGGGCTCAGTACTTGATGCGTCTAATTATAATTTTCACATGATGTCGCATGAATTCTCACCGATGGTCACAAGATATAGCAGGCCATCAAAAAACAAGTGACCATGAAGTCATTCAGAATGATCTTGATGGGGTAAATGAGTGGGCGACTCAGAACCTGCCCGCAATTGTAAGACCTTGAGCGCGCACTGTCAATCCACTTGCCAGTACGGCCTGATGGATGAGGTTTTGCAACTCTGTGTACTGAATATGACCTAGGGGTGATATTACAATTGAATCTTGGCTGTTCATATCAGGTCGGGAAGGAATTCAAACTCTCTTCTATCTTATCACAGATGCTCAATGCCTATATTATGCACTATTCAACATACACCATCCACGCCTGGCAGCTGTAGTACAAGCACGAGCTTGCTGCATTTAAATGCTACAACGAAATGGGACCAAGAATCTAAAGCAGCTGTTTCATCTCCCTTAAAAACTG